CGACGAAGGGCGAGGAGCTGCCGAGCTCGAGAAGTTAAAGAGTGCCGGACTCGATAAGATGAAGGCGGCAACAAGACAGTACGCCAGCTACCAAACTCGTTGGATCAGACTCAAGCAGATCCCACGGATACACGAGGTTGGCCCAGAAGCCATGGGAAATCTATATCTCCTTGACAGCACCGATGTTTCTGCGTATGGTAAAAATGTGGTTGAACCTGCGGTGCAACTGGCGCAGCAGTTCCTTCAAGGAGAGGAACGTCCACGGCCGACAGAGATATCTGCGCTTGCTCAAGAGGTTCTTACACAAGTTGGCAACCCTCCTCCTAAAGCGACACCATGCAAACGAGTTTGCGAAATTTGTCATACGACATTGTTGACAGAGGAGGCCTGGAAGCAACATCTAAAAAGTTCAACTCATAGGCGTGTTGTTCGCAGGAAGGCGAGGACGGCTCTTGTGCCAGTGGAACAGAAAAAGGAAAAGACAGAGAAGACTCAAGAGGATGAGGCAGACTCTGGTCCAGAGCTGGGGTCCATGTTCTCGGAATGATGAAATACTTCAAGTATCGAATGGACTGTTGACTAACTTCCAATGCGTCAAACAAACGGACTTTAAACTATAACGGTCCGTCTGATCCACCTCGGGAATGGAGATACCCAAGGACTTGGCCATCAATTTAATTCCTAGTTCATTGTACGGTACCTTACTATGTGGAGCAATGCTTTGTCAATAATGTCGAGTGTGCTCATGACCATTTGAGGCGTGACAGTGACAGCAGATGGGCCGTTGATCCGAGTCCCGACTATTGGTCTTCGGCATTTCAATTAAAGCAACTACTGCAGAACTAGGCCACGTAGTAGAAATAGATAGACCTATGTGTCGTCGGCAGAGTCGGTCATATCTGTTCTTCGGGGTTGACTCATATCCCGGTCTTTTATCGAGAGCACCTACGGGATATTGATGATGTTATGTGTTCGGTATGCAGGGGTGTCTAGACTTCGGCGATTTTCTCAGCTAGACGAGGGAAAGTTCCAGGATCCCCGATGAAGTCATAAATAGCTTGCGGAGAAGTATTCAAGCTTGAAAGTTGGAACCAAACGTTTATTATCTGGCGCAAACTTGGCTTGCATAAGTCACACGTGTGTAGTTTAAGCGGCTTAACCTCCCGAAGCTTCCGAGCTTTTACGAAAAATGCCAAAGTTTAGTGTCAACTGCTATCCTTAACCGACTGAACTGAGTTTCATGATGAAGATCAACAACTATCGTTGGTGTGCGTATTCGTTTAGACAAGGCTGCTATTAGCGTCTCGGGTATCGTTCACGCATGATGGATCTGATAATTTCTATAAGTAATCTTGAGTCATCACCGTTGGCCCGTTGCGGCGGACTTGGATGCCAAAGTCCGCCGCTATTCAAATAGGCGGTTCGCTCTCGGGACCGAGCCCGCGTAATTGGTCCATTCGTACTGTGTCTCCAGTTGATTTTTAATCCATGTGAAACTTTGAACAAGATAATTCCATCTGTTTCATTGAACCTGATGCATTGAGGCCTGGTATATATGTAATGGTGGTGTTGGAACTAGGAATCAAGGCAACAATAAATCTGCCTAACAAAGCCCTAGTCAATTCACTCACTTCATGATCAACAGTAGGAACTTGATCCTTCTTATATCCCTGAACCACCGCTGATACGGGATTCGCGGGTTCCGATATGCGGGTGTATTAATTATTCCTATTCCCATGACATTTTATGCAGCGCGGCTCAGTTGACGACGTCCACTGCTACCTACTGACTGCAGTGAAGAAGCATAAAGAAAGCCCCTGGGTTCCCTCCTGGCTTTGGCCCTGCCCCTAAAAAGAGTCCCAGTCGGCTCTTGGTTGTACCGGTACACTCGGGATCTTACGGTGTAGTCAGCCGTTGCTTATCACTTTTGTCAGTTTTATAGCCTACTTCCTTACGTACTCCATTCTATTTACATTTTCCTTTCATTTTTGTTTCATTTTCGGTATTGTTCAATCTTATCTTTGAGCTGTATTTGCCCAATATTTGTGCCCCTCCCCCTCACCTGACCCCAGCGTGGTAGGAGCGGGCTTCAAAAAGACCCCAGTTTCCGCTTCCGTTATTGCGCCTGTAACTTTTCACTCTAACGTTGAGTGGAGCTCACATTGGCGTCATAGGATAATTTACTCGACACTCACTCACCTCCAAATCTCGGCATCTGGAATCGAGCTGAACTGAGCTGAGCTGCTTGTTATGTGAGAATTTTCTTTCTTCGGATATGTCAAATCATAGTGCGTCCGGTCCGGGCTCGATGGCTCACAGCCACAAGACGCCCCGAGTCTTGGCCTGTGTCTTGTGTCAACACCGAAAGATCAAATGCGATCGAAACACGCCCTGTTCGAATTGCGTCAAGGTGCGTTGACCCATATCGTCATATACCTTGCTTGTATTATGGCGCTTTGAATCCTTCGTCAGTACATAGGATTCGCGACTAACTAGCCAAGGCCAATGTCATATGCACTCCCAGTACTCCGGCTCCTGCTAGGAAGCGCCGGAGACCAAATCAGGATCTTCAAGAACGTCTGGCGAGATGTGAGCAATTGTTGAAACAGTACGCCGATGGTTCCGTACCATCACCAGCTACCATGACACATTCACCTGCTACCAATGGTTCCGTGCACGATGCTTATCCTGCCACGCCAACCAACATTGATGGTCAAACAAAATGGAAGCCGACAGGAAAGATGGTTAGAGAAGAGGGTGGTGTACGTTTCATGGACAGTTATCTTTGGGCCAATATTCATGATGAGGTGAGACTGACTGACTGCTACTGACTACTGACGAAACTAACAATGAATCAAGCTTCAAGCCATGAGGGAGATTGTTGATACCGATGATCCGGAAGAAGCCAGCGTTATGGGCTCTGAGGACTTGAGTCCGGATTACAATATCGATCTTTTAATTCCATCAGACGCTTCGAACCGATCTATCGAGGATCACCAACCTGATCCAGTTCACATCTTTAGACTCTGGCAGTTATTCGTTGACCGCGTCAATCCTCTGACCAAGATCATCCATGTCCCGTCCGTCCAGCCATTTGCTTTGGAGATGGCTACCGATGTGAACAAGATTCCACTCAACTACCAGGCCCTAATGTTTGCCATCTTCACCATGGCGACAGTATCTCTAACCGAAACCGAATGTCTTCAGATGCTGGGGACTACCCGCGACCAAGCTTTACGAAAGTATACTATTGGGACCAAGCTGGCACTGACAAAGTTCAACTTTTTGAAAAACTACGATATGGTGGCGCTGCAGGCGCTGCTGCTGTATTTGGTAAGGTTTGTTGATGTACTATACGCAATGTTGGCTGACTGGTGGATAGCTGTCTCTTCAAAACCGCTACGACCGCCATGCTGCGTGGATTCTGAGCGGCATGGTTGTAAGAATTGCTCAAAAGATGGGCTACCATCGTGACGGTGACTATTTAGGACTCAACGCTTTCGAGACGGAAATGCGCCGGCGCATGTGGTGGCAAATCATTCTTCAAGACGCAAAGAATGCTCTGGTCTCTGGATTGAGTCATTCGCTTCTCCCAAGCAGCTGGGATACCAAGATGCCGCAAAACGTAAACGATGCCGATTTATTCCCTGGATCAGTCGAGCCTATCCAACCTCGCGAAGGCCCGACAGAAATGGCATTTTGTCTGATCGGCTATCAGATTGCAAAGTTTTTAGTGAATGCCGAATCTCTCCACGGCCATCCCGGTTTGGAAGCCGCCGTCATAGGTGATTTCGAAGGTCAAGACCCTTCGAATGTTCCGAGCATCCAAGAGTACAGAGATCTGGTAGACACTCTGGAGCAAAATCTATTGGACGTGGAGGCTCGCTATATCGACCCAACTGCTGGAAACGTACACATTGCTGCCCTCAGTGTTCGCCCAATGATTTGCAGCAAGATGAGGGAGATATTGGTGCCTATGAGAGAACAGCCCGAGTGGCAAACTGGGGAGATTCGCGACAAAAAGGACAACCTCTTCAAGATCGTCTTGATGAACAACGAACACAGTACCGATGCGTATGGTATCATGGACGAGACGGGATTCCTTTGGTTCATGAAGTTCCATTTCCAGGTCGACATCTTTACCGTCATGACGAAGCAGCTTTGCCAACGACCGAGAGGCTCCCTTGCCGCCCGTGCTTGGAACATGGTCGAGAAGATCTACCATTATCACCCTGAACTCCTGGATATGACCCAAAAAACCAACTATGTACAAGCTCAAGCAGTATTGAAGGCTTGGCACAACCGTGAACAAGCACACAGAGAAGACGGCCAGATCCTAGAAACACCAAACTTTATCTATCGCATACGAGACGTTATAGCGAGCGACGTCCGAACTACTGAATCTTCGCCGCAGCAGCCCGTAACACATGCCCCTGCGAATACTACTCAGATGACAGACCTCGATCCTTTCCTTGGCAATTACTTGGACGTCTCGACTCTTAATTGGGATATATGGGGGAGCATGACCCAACCACCACCACCACCACCACCACCACAGCAGCAAACTCAACTACCGATGCAATTATATGGCAATTTTCCTATGGGTAACTTGGGTTAGAGTCGACAATCAAGGCGAAAATTGGCGGGAGCATGGTAAGGACGAATCTCCAAGGAGTAGCATGTATTTTTGGACACAATAGAACGGCGCTGGTTGATTTACGGATTGGACTACCAAGGGGTTTGTTTTGCAGTGTACCAATAAATTTTTTATTTAAATATGCATTCACTGATGAGAGTGATCTGGTGCGATTTTTTGCAAGTGCTTTTATTGAGACTGAGTTGATTCAGGTGAGTGCATTCACCACTTTGACACCCTTCATTGTTGGATGTCTGTCATTCCTCCGCCCTCATTGTTCTTCATGTTCCATCGTTTCTCATTACTCCCGATTACAGTATCGGCCACAATCCAGCCAGGAATTTGATGGCTTCTAGACTAACATCTAGTCGGCGTCGTTGCGAGGGTGGTCACGACCAGGGACAGACTGGAGGGGAATAGTGTTCCGCTCAAGGCTGGTCTCTCGACGTCGCTGGAAAATAGGGATACGACACCCAGCGTTGCTGTCGCGACGAGGGGCGTCAGACCAGATCCTAACGTGATGGGTCGCAGTGCTACCATCGAAAGGACGGGCAAGGTTGTCGTGAGCGAGGTTGCCATGAGGGTTGGCGACAGGGGCGGCGTCGACAGGAGCGGGATCGCCGTTACGGCTAGGCTTCCAGGTACAATAGACCACGCCAGCCAGGAAGACGACAAAGATCATAGCGCTGAAGCATACGATCATGATGTTCATGTCGCCAGTGGTCATGCGGGGCAAGACCTTGGAGTCGGACATGTTGGCGGTTAATGCTGTAGTGTGTTAGTGATGACCAGGGGTGGTGATGAGGAGTATGTACCAAGTGTGTAGTGTTCTGGGTCGTTCTGGGAGATCTCTTCGAGGACTGGTTCGGTGTCTCAAGATGAGGATTCGTTGTGGTTGAGGAAAAGACTGAAGAGAACGATTTTCTGGTTATATATCCTTCTCATGATGGCAAACGCTGCGATGAACTCGATACATCGTTAACACAATTGTGGTGGTGAATAATGAGCAAACGAACACAATGAAGCACTCAATACGGGGTAGTTTGAAGATGAGGAGTTGAATTTGAGGGGAAAACACAACAAACGCAAGCATTCATTCGAGTACTACGGATCAACAAACGGAACCCCACAGGCAGCGTTTATCAATACAGGTGTGAATAAACCAGCGCAGTCATCCTCTCAAACCTCGTCCCAAATATTCAGCCTTCTCTGATCATCAACCACCCTTCCAACCGCCGCATTCGCCTTCTCCCGTTCCCTAGCCTCCTTTTTCTCCTCTCTCTTTTGCTGCCAGTGTGCGAGTCCCTGGAAACAGATGCATGGAAGGATAAGTGCGATGAACGCAAAGACGACGCCAAGAGTTATGCAAATCATGGCGATTTTGTCAGAGTGTGAGCCGTGTTGAGAGGTGGAAGTAGAGGTTGCGCTGGCTGAGGCGACAGCAACGGAAGAGCTGATAAGTGTAGTAAGGGAAGACATCTTCTTTTTTTTCTGTCAAAGCTCAACGTAGATGTTGTGGATGTAGCTGTGATTGTTTTGATTGAGGAGGAAGAATTAGAGAGAGTGTGAAGAGGGAGTTATGGTGGTGGTTTTGGGGAGTGTTTGTGCAGTCGGCTTGCAGCTGGTGAACAGGCGAATACAACTGCAGCACAGAAGCTAAGCCTATACGACGGAAACAACCAACTCTGCCAGGGCCTCGTGGATAACAGAAGGCAGCCTTGAGTATAGATACTGGGGTATGAAAATAAAGAGTAGCTCCTGTTATCCACCAGGCCCTACATTACTATTCACCAGCGAACACCTATTTGCAGCAGGATGCTCAGGCTTTGATCAGCCTTGCCCAGTAAGTATCGTCTTCAAATTAGGTACATCTACCAACTATATCTCTATCTCAAGCTATCCTACCTTTCTTTCTGAATCGGCACGTCATTGAGAGATGAATTCCTTGAAGATAGGAACAAGGGCTTCAGAGTTGGGACCGTCAACGCCACGGTAGAACAAAACTCTACCGTTGTGGTTATAAGTACCATCCGCCTTCTCGAAGAACCAACTCAGGTTTTCATCATCTTCACTGATAGTCCATGTAAGGTTATCGTAATCTTTCTTGATGGCAGTGAAGATATCCTCAGGAATGTTGGTCAACCACCCAGCCTGACCAATAGCCAGCTTGGAGAGATTGGCCACAGAGGAGTGAGGGCCAGGGGATACCACTATTGCGAGACATTGCATACTATCATCGTAGTATGCAGTGAAGGGGTTCTCCTTGAGGAATTCGAGATACTGGTGGACGGACATCTTGGAATTGGGATCATCGTGACGGAATAGAGTCTCTTTCAACTTCTCAAGATCCTCAAAATCGGAGATAGAGGTGGCCCTTCTAATAGAGGTGCCCCTGCGAATCAACGTGCCAGCGCCTGAGTCGGCTAAGGATTTGTTAATACGATCCCACTTCAGACAGATTAATGGTCAATGATAGGGCATCACTTACTGAATAGCTCCCTTTGTAGATCGGCTGGGTGAATGATGGCAACGCTAGACGTGCGGGGGAGTGTCTGTAACACTATACGGCCGTCAGCGATTCGTCACGAACAAAACACACTTTAGAACCCACAATCGCGCGACTGCCTTATCTTGAGTGCGAGTCCAAATCTGCACCAGGGTTGCTTCATGAGATCGTCGTATTCCTGATCCAGGTTGATGAGGCTGATCTTCTGCCCCTCGCCATTGAATAGACCACCCTTTTCACTGAGATATATGATTTTTAGTGGTTTCAGTGCACGAGCCAGCTCAGCAGCAGCGACATCAGCGTTAACATTAAGAAGATTTCCCGACTCGGATTCAGCCATAGAGTTGAGGACAGGTATGTACCCGGCCTCAATCTGAGAGAGTGTTAGCCTAAGTCCCAAGAGATTCGTGTGTAACAAAACTTACGGATTGCTGAATAGCCTCGGTGTTGACCTTGGTGACATTGCCAACATACTGCCACTTTTCCTTATCAAGGAACTCAGCTTGGAAAACACCTTGGAGGGATCGACTGGCCACGCCAAGCTCATCCAAGCGTTTGACTAGCTTGAGGTTCTCCTCGAGGAAGAGCTTTCGGGCAATACCCAATGTCTTGGCATCGGTAACCCTGATACCCTCCTCGAACTGTGGTTCAACGCCGGCGTCCTAGTGGTTTTTAGTATGTTATCCAAAACTCTGCTCTACATCCTGAGAGGCTCAGCCGAACTCACTAGAAGCAGCTGGTTAAGCTGGGGTCCTGCGCCGTGGACAATCACTGGGTATAGGCCGAGCTCGAACAGGAGAGCAAAACTTTGGCAGATCTCATCGAGGTTATCTTGAAGCAATGCGCCTCCCACCTTGACGACAGCAAATTGCTGTGAGGAAACGGACGAGAATAGCTTGAGGTACTGCTGGCCTTCGCGCCGACTACCAATGCTGTTGATGGTCTGGGCAATAATCTCGCGGGTTCGATCTGGGTGCTTGGAGAGGACCTTCGAGGACAGGCTAAACGCGCGGGCGGGGGCGAGGTCGTGACTCCGGCTGGCCGCCGTGATCTTGGGCGCGGCGCCGGGCAATCGAGAGACAGCTCGGCGGGCACCGGCCCTGAGGGCGGCAGTGGTGGAGAGCATTGCTATGATCCAATTGAGTGAGGTCGACGTGTATGACGATGAGCAAAAGGATGCCTCTACGATGATGAGTCGTTGGAGTTACCTTGGGGAAAATTTAGCCCACTGCATGAAGCGGCACTGCGTGCAGTTAAGTGGGGTTACCAGCCCAGCTGAGTTCCGATGTAGGTACTTGAAAGATCAGATAAGATAATACCGACTCTGACCGATGCCGGACCTTTACTATGGAGCATGATCTGGGGCTGGACTTGAATAGCTGCCAGCAACTGGCACATTTGGGATTGCAATCGTTAGACTGCCCTGGCCGTGGGGCTTGCAACGGGAGGAGATTACAGAAAGCTTATTGTCGCAGTCACTTACTTAGCTTAATCATCATAACATTTCATGTCTGTAAGTTTCTTCTTAAGAATGCTGCGACAGCAAGCGAAACAATTTTTTGAGTCAAGTGTGGCGACCGTGATTTAGAGAACACAAACTCTCAATGCCAGAGTGAGGTATCTCACCTTTTGAAGAGTGTGAATAGTCTCAACTTGTCGCTCGTTTGACATCAAACCCGTGATGACGATGAGTACAATCGGCGACCAGCTTAACCTATAGGATCAGCCCAGTCACTGTTTAACCGTTTGCACCACAACTGAACTGAAAGAGCCTCAAGAGGTAGTTCAACAGCACTCAGTTACTGGCGCGTAGCAACACAAGGCTTGCTTGCAGTCACGCATGCAACATGATACCAATCCAGAGCGTCTTCGCTCAGTTACAACATAACAGTACTTCAAGCGAAAGAATGTAGATCTCAAAAATGAAACGACACCTAGACGGGATCACTAGGTGTCGAGATTAACGACGGATCCAATTTCCCAATATTCTTCTTAGAACGTCCAAAGGTCCAAAGACCCTGTCAACAATGCTGCCCACTCTCTACTAGACAGCGTGTGACGAACGCTCTGCTATCTGAAGAAGGAAGGAAAAAGAAGAGAATTCACATGCGGCGGAAAATTTCAAAAGACAATAAAGCTCAAACATGCTTAGTCATGTTGGGCTGCACGTGATGAGTGGATCACGTGTGTCCCGAGATGAGGAATTGATAGCTTCCTATTGGTCGTGTGGACCGAGAAGCCGAGAGAGTCCGTTCCGATACTCGAGAATAGGAAGCCATCATCATCGATCCCTCTATACCTGCCCTCTTTGGAGTAACGACGCCGACAATATCGTTGGACGAACCTTGGACGAACCTCCCTCCCTCAAATCCGAACAAATAATCCTCTCCACGATGCTCGCTCAACGTGTTGGCGTCAACGCCCTCCGCTCAGGTACAGCGCATAAGCGAATAGCCTCAAGTACAACGGATCGCTAATGGAACTCTCTATTTAGGCGCGGCCAAGCCTTTCTTTGCTCAGAACATCTCCAAGAGTGCTCTGGCTGCTGGCATCTCTACCTCTTCTCCCAACCGGTACGTCCACGAGCGCAATTGAGCTTTCACAATCTAACGTGCATAGCGCCTCTACTGGTTCTGTCAAGGTCTCTCAAGAGGAAGGTCAACAGATCCTCGTTAACCAGCGCCTCAACCGACCCGTCTCTCCCCATCTGGCCATCTACAAGATCGAGCAGACATGGTTCGGTAGCTCCGCCTGGAACCGTATCACCGGCTCTACTCTCTCCGTCACCCTCTACGGCTTCTCCATCGCCTACCTCGCCGCTCCCATCGTCGGTCTCCACCTCGAGAGTTTGAGCATCGCTAGCTTCGTCGCCGGTCTTCCCCTCGCCGTCAAGGGTGGTCTCAAGTTCACTCTCGGTTTCCCCTTTGTCTACCACGCCATCAGCGGTGTCAAGCACCTTCTCTACGACGCCGGAAAGGGTTTCGCCAAGACAACCATTATTCAGGCTGACAAGTACATCTGGGCTGCCAGCGTTCTCGGCGCTATTGGTCTGGTTGCTTTCCTGTAAGATACCAAATATCGAAAATAGAAGAGCGGAATAGAAGGAAATAAGCAACATGCGCAGTGGATGATCAAGTTGCAAGGGATATATGGAAGGAGTAGGGATGAGACAAAACTCGTGTACGAGTATTTAGCCGAAAGGCATCTGACTTTTAGCAAACAATTTTATTATATGTATAAAAGCGCCTTGAAATGCTGGGCTTGTTTCTAAAATATCGTCGTGAGGTATTTCGCGACCTAAACGCCATTCGCCTGCCATGATCATTTTCATTTGTACCTACTCCAAATTTCGAGCATCCAGGATTGTACGTATCAACCTCCGATTACCAGAGGAAGCAATCTTCTCCCCAATAATGGGTCCAATGAAATCCTTGAGCTCAGACACTTCGCCCTCCACGCTGGTTGTACCGTTGATGCCATTGGTGTCTGAGCTGATGTGATCCGCCAGCGAGGCAACAGCCTGTATGATGCCTTGAACCAGCATCTCGTAATCCATTGTACCCTCTGCCTTTTCCTTGAGAGGTTGAAGGATGCCCGAATCAAAAGTCTTTAGGTTGCGCAAGACAAGAACGCGAATAGCTTCTGGGCCACCTGCTTGGAGTAGACCATAGATGGCACCGTAGAGGACTGCGGGTGGTTTGGTAGGATCGAGGAAGTATTTGAGACATGTTCGCGTGAGCTTGGGTCGGAGAAGTGTGTTCGAGGCCGAGTATTTGCGTGCGATTTGTCCAACCAGAGACGCTGCCAGCTGTCGGAGGTCGTATTGCTCCTTTAGAGCGTCGGTACCCTCCTCAGTGCCCAGTTTTCTAGCCATGAGACAAGTAAGGGCGGGCGCCGAAAGTGGACTGGCGTAGGGGTCAAGGAAAAGGCTCTTGTTCTCGATCAGAGCATTTGTCAATTCCATCATTTGTTTGAGAGTGAAGGTATCGTCCAGATGGTGTGTCACTCGATCCATGATGAATGTGATGAAGTACGGGATGAGCTGATGCAGACCGGGGTCGTCTCTCACGGAACCCAGAGCAGCCTGTCGAAGGCGCACCACCTCTTCGTCGGGATTGTCGTCGAGAACAGCGGCTTGGATTTTGTCAAAGTAGAGGATGAGCTCCTTGCTCACAATGTGCTTAACAGAGGGCTTCATGGAGACGTTGTCGTTGCCTGCGAGAGCAGACAGTGCGGGGTTGGCACCAGGTCCCTTGGGAAGAAGTTCTTGCGATCGAGATTCGGATGTCGTAGGGTTTTGCGGGATGGAGGGCTGAACTCCTTCGATAGCGAGCCAGTGCGCTGAGAATTAATTAGTGAGATTCGACTTGTCGAGACGAAGGGTTTACCTGTGAAACCCATGTCGCGCGGTACTTTGGGTAGAGGCGCATTGATGAGCTTCTCGAAATCGACTTCCTCATCTTCGATATAGAAAAGCGGTTGACCGGGACCAAGACTGGCCTCGCCGTATCGCAGCGGACGCGTAGAATCGTAGCCGTAGAGGGGTTCGACGTCGAGCGCCTTGAGCGCGAGCGAGATGTCGTTGACGGTGAGAGTTGTTCGGCGTGAAGCGCGCATGAATCGCAGAGCTTCAACGATGACCTGACCGACGCGGTATTCAACATCCTGTGTCAAACACTTGAGGGCCTCTTCGTTGAGCGCGCTGATGCCGACCGACTCTGCAACATCCTTGACGTTATCGGGATTCCAGAGAAGCTTGGGAGTTTCGGCAGCCATGGCGCTTATGGGCTGCGCAGTCAGGCGCTCAAGTTTGGTGTTTGTTCAGTGAGAGTAGGAGGATCGAATTCGGGCAGAGCTTGGAAGGAGAGAATGGGATGGTAATGTTTAAATGCGTGAAGCTTGACGAGGCTGAGATGGATTCGAGGTTGAAGTGTGGCTTGGTCTGGGGTAAGCGCCACATTTATAGCTACAGAAACACCAGGGAATTTTTTTTTCTTATGGCCTTTACTTACTTTCTTCTTAAATAATACTAATAAAGAATGTTAAGCTTATTATATAATAACTTAAATCTGTAAGATATTAATATAGTAAATATAATAAGTATAACACAAAGACGCTGGTAATATAAAATAGACCGCCAATGTAACTTGCACTAACTTTTATGGAACGTATTATTTGCAATAAGACATAATTACTTAAAGAATAAACCAACACATATGAGACCAGCTATGATTAAAACACCGAATCGAATCATCATTGATCTTCATCTCAAAGCCTTGCGCAAGGTTCCTCTGCCGTCTTCTCTCCACCTTCTATCCTCTCAGCAGCTCTCTCAAAAGCAGCAACAACATCATGCTCACTAATCCACGAAGGATCCATCCTATTCTTTACCCTATTTATCAACTGCTCATTTGTCTCTACCGTTTCCCTCTCAATATTCGACTTCTGTCCCGCAATATTGTTGTGTACGATACCCAAGAGCTTATCCAGGTGTGGCTTACGGGCGGCTTCGTATAAGTCGAACACTTGTGTCAGCTGAGCCTTGGTAGGCTTCTTCGTTGGTGCTTCCGATGCTGGCCAAACGTGGTCGAGAGCGCGATACAGCGCGTATGCGTCGTCAATTGCAAGTGAGCCTCCGGCTGCGAAGGAGCCACCGTGAGTGTGAGCTGCGTCGCCAACGAGAGTTACACAGCCAGCGAAGGACCATTTATCGAGAGCTGCGCCAGCGTAATTTGGGAAGAGTTTGACATAAGGAGTCGCTTCTATGAACGCTCTGATTGTTGGATTCCAGTGCTAGGTAATGTCAGTCATGGCCAAGGACCAAAGGTGAGGATTCACTTGGTATAATTTTTTGAACTCCTCGACACTGCCATCTTCATCCCACCTTGCATCTTGGCCTGGTGAGTTGAAGTCTTTAGGATCAGCGTGGTAGCCACCAACAATAGTGAAGAGACCTTTGCCTACGGCCATGTATTAGATAAGTGTTGGGGGGCAATATCGGTCTCATACCAAGATGTGAGTGGAAAAATGTGGTCTCATGCCCAGCCTATGATCTATATCAGTTTGCCGTCCGTTCAACTCACAGACTCCGAGGTCTTACCCAGTGAGCCGCATCCTCGGGATATTCAACACCTCTTAGTCGATCGGCATCAAGGACAGCTCGGAACGCAACCCAGCCTGTCCAATGTAGCTCATGCTCTGGCACAAACGTCTTGCGAACTTTCTGCCAAAGAGATCAGTGGTCTGTTCCTTAAAAAAAAAAGTGCCCGAACCTACTGATCGAAGGCCATCAGCACCAATAACAATATCAGCAGTCGCAGTCGTCTCATCCTCAAAATAAAGCATAGCTCCATCATCAGGATTCGCTTTGACATCGACAGTCGTCTTGCCCAAATGCACAACACCCTCCGGTACATTCTCCAGCAAGGCCTGATGAAGATGCGCACGATGAAATCTCGCAGTAGCATGCCTTTTATCCACTACAGACTTATGAACATCGTAATCGATGACTTCTCCAGTCTTCCAGTGTCGGTATATCATGGGATACCCTGACCTTTGACGCTGTGCAAAGCCTTCAGCAAGAGCATTTTCGACTCCAAGACACTCAAGTGTTCTGAGGCCATTGGGGCCGAGAGCTATACTTGCGCCGATTTCTTTAAACTCTGGTGCTCGCTCATAGACTTGAACGTTGACGTGGGGGTGTTTGAGGAGAGCGATTGCTGTGATGAGGCCGGCGATGCCACCACCAGCGATTGCGACTTCGAGCTTGGGTGGGTCTGTTTGGGCTGCCATGATTAACTTGTAGTTTCAATTTTACTGATCAGGGATATGACTACAACTTGAACGGCGAGTCATCAATTTATCACCACATCTAATTGAGGTCCCCAATCTCAAGGCTTACCCCCAAGTGTAACCGACTTATCGGACGGACCCCGATAATGATTCGAGCACGCCATCTTATTCCCCACTGATTCTTGATTCATGAGATGCAGCAATTGAAGCAACCAATGTGAGTTAGATATTGCATGACATAGCTGATAATGTCATTTGTGAAGTATATGGCGATGTACCGATATCGCAGTCACAACAGTTGTGTGCATTCCATTCTCATTCCCATTCATGCTACTCAAAGATAGGCCACTATTTAATAGCATCAGAGGACAGCAACCTATTGTAACAGACGCCTAAGAAGCAATAGGTTCCAAGTCTGATAGATCCAAAAGTCTCGTCTCATGCAACTTGTATCCCTCTGTAGCCCCCAAGTATCGACCCGTCTGGAAGCTCCAGAGCAAGTCTCCAAGGGGGAAGCTGTGGCATGCCTCGATGTATCTCAACACTTCACGGTCAATAGCTTCTCCCCAGACGGGCATGCTCACCAGCGCGAGATACCATCGACGGTAACATTCATCCTGGAGCTCGCCCGCTCTGTCCATTGCTTGTTGGGTAGTGAATCCGTTCTTTTTCAGAACAGTGACAAAGTTGTGCTCGATTCCGGACTTAACATCTTTCTTGTATGATACAATATCGTTGTGGCTGAGGTGTGTTAACATGAGCACCAGTCAGCTGAAGAGAGTACGACTTACATCCAAGCAAGATCACAGCCCACCGCTATGCATTCCTGAACTAAAGGATGCTTGAAAGCCTCCTGTGACAAGTCGACATTGTGAGCATAACTATAGACAGATCCAATTAGCATGGACTTTTTATGACAGCAAGATCTATGCTCACGCGAAGAGAGTGATGCAGGGATATCCACCAACAGTCCTCCTACGCATCCTGATGTAGTCCTCTTCCGTTCGAACTTGACTGTCACCATCACGGGTAGCTTTCTTTCTGTTCTTGTTCCATATTCTTTCTTTTCGAACATTCCAGGTACTGTGAGTTCGGTGCAAAACATAAACTTTTATTGCCATTGATCGTGATTCTGGCCAACTCATTAATTGAGTACCTATAGAACACACGTTAATATGACTACAATAATGTCCACGCCATTCTCTCTTGCGTTATCAGGACACATGTGTGCTATCAAGTACACACCTCAAATAATCTACTACAAACACAGATCCCATATCCACCCTCAACAACGATGAGCACAACTGCCCTCGCAACCTTGCCCTTACATACCCAAGCTCAACACTGTAGCTCAGACAGATGTATCGTACTCGATCCTAACCCCGTCAAGTTCACAACCTCGATGAAGGACCGAAACCTCCATGTCAGAATCATCCCATTTACAATCGAGTTCAATTTCTGCCTTGGGACCTGTAGAAGGCCAGGTGATTGTGCAGAGGGGCTTTTCCTGCAAATCGTCTCTTGAATTATAGCAAGCATGGATGATATTGCTCACGCAGCTGTCTGAAGTGGTTGTCGATATGACTCTCGGCGGCAGCTGCCTTCGATTTGGACCGACTGCGGACAACTCTTCACCCTGATGAAGCGAAGTCAGCAGGAATCGGCAAGGGTGAGAAGTGTTAGCTTACCTCATTCACAAGCCAATAGATTCCAGGATGTGGAGCTACGCCATAGCTGGTATAAATGACGCGAGAAATCACGTATGGTGAGTTCTTCCCAAGATGGTCCGGCGAAGCCAGCCTGAACTCCTGAAGCTCTCGGAGAACAGCTCCTCGAGCTACCGCAGTACATCTATACAGATCAAAGTCAGACGGAGTTTCTGTCAGAAATAAGGGGATGATATTACGCCTGGTCGCCCGTCGAGCAGTGAATGGCGGGAGATTGAACGAGCTCAAGCACAGCCTGCTTGATTCGAGTCTGAACATAAGGGCTGCGACCAAAACCGCCGGCTATAATGACATGCTAATATATCTCGTCAAAACGTGTTTCTTCAATACAGAGGGACAACTCACCAGCCCATTCATACATCCTCTGAAACTAACGACTTGCGATCTAACAAGATTGACTATCTTGTCAACGACGGGGTCAAAGACCAACGCAAGTTCAAACCTAAAATATCCGAATCAGTAAGTGTTCACGAAATAAAAGATACTCAGTCACGCGCTGAGCCGAATGGCATTACCACCGCCAAACTGACGAGGGACGTGAATTGTCCATTCATGACGATCACCGCAAAAGTGGGATTTCATATCTTTTTCCGATAGGCGAATTCACGAAGGCATTGTCCTGTAACAAGGTCGATTTCGGAAACAGGGCAGACGTTTTGTATCTGGCCGATGCTCTCTATCTTTGTCTTGAGGAGGTTCATGAAGTTATTGTCGATTAAAGCTCCGCCGACAAGAATACACTCCCTTTGGGTGAGCTGTTTCATACCAAGGGGTCGAATTGTGCGAATCTCGTAGGCAGCAGCCTCCTTGCGAGGTGATAAGTATCAGTACCACCAAGATTTGAACAGTTACTTACAGTCGTGAAGCCGCCGCAGTCGCAAATCATAACCACATTTCCTCCCCGAAGGATTGGTTGCTGGAAATGTTAGAACCGAACTGGACCAAGGTATACAGATTGTGAAAGACCCAACTTACCATGCGATCCAATGGCTTGATCAGGTCTAATACAAGGGCAATGGAAGCAGCCTCTATATCTGGAATGAACTTGGAAATCAGATGAACATTATCGGAGAGGATATTTGCTTTACGGATGACCTGAAACATCTTTTTGCGCGCATAGACGGGCCAAACGCTTGGAACTGTTATGGCAATATTGTACTCGAAATCATACATAGAGCATCGAAGGCTTTCACGAAAGTTGGACCAGAGAAGACTGAGATAGTCTGTCGACTCTTGATCCAGAGACGCCACAAACGTTTGCAGTATGGGCATAACATCGAGGCGTAGTCGGATCTCCAGGATTGAATCGCGTATACGAAATCCCAGAGGAGCTGCAGTACCGAGTAAGCAGGGAAAGCCTATAAAACTGTGTGTTGAATAGGGTCTCGAGACTTACCTAGCACTGAGGTCAATGCCTACAATGATAGTGCCAGAGATACGGAACTCTGGAGCAGAAGGGGCTTGGGCCTCTTGCATGTGAAGGTCCTCCCTCCACTCGTGCAATCTGGCCATGGTTAAGGTACGGTACTGGAGATGTTCGAATTCCAAGATACTGAACCAGAGGTGGTGAGAGAATAGGTCTCTTGAGTCAGGAGACCGTCGTTATAAGCACTGAGAGCATTGCAGGTCTTTGATGTCTAACTCAGCAATTTGGACATCGGAATCGAAGCTTTGTTTGATATCTTTGTTGAGCGGGCCAACAGAGCATTCGTATGCATCTTGTAACGGAAGGCATGACGCAAGCCATATAGAAGGCCAATGACAGAACAATGAGAGAAGCAAAGAACTGCAAACTGCTGTGAAACATTTGCCTCGGGGCGGAAAGCATATGCAGAGAGCCTGGTATGTCTTTTTGACCGCTTTCTTGTTTGTACTGAGACGACAACTTGACTTACAATCACTAGACTATCTTTCCTGACTACCTAACATCAAAGAAGCCCTGACTGCTTGTGAATCAACAGTCTAGCCTTTCTATTTGGGCAGCTAGTAAGGAGTGTCTGGGTACCCCGAAGCAAGCATTTGGCATGGCAAACATCCAACACTGAATTGTCTCCATCACTGAAAGTTTGTTCTTTGCTTCTGCAAGTATCCACTAATAAAGACCGTGCTATCTAAGGATATCTTCAGCTAGTGCGATTGGGCTGTATTGGTCTTGGATCGGTGGGTTGCCGATGCAAAGGGCTAAGTCAAGGACACATGCATGATACGAGGGACTCTGTAACTCTAGTATCGGGAACAATGCTAGGTGTAGAATTCCATGGAAGAGCTTTGGAAGATATTCAAGGATGAAGAGTGATAAGAGAGGTTCCAATTGAGAATAGCACAAGGCATATCGATATAAATGTCAAAATTGAGGAAGATGATCAGACAGGCTAAGAAGATTATATTCGGTAAAAGATAGCATCAAAAGCCATTGTTTCTAAGTTATATAAAACCCCTAGTTCCAAAATGAAGCTCGTGATGTGCCCACTTTCTCCATGATTTGGTGTTGACATATCAAGGTGGGGCAGCCTTATCGATTGACACACGTGACCTTCAGAAAATGTTCGCGATCCAGCTTCGGCAACCATGGTAATGAGCATTGAGTTGCCAGTCAAGACCCTCGCCCTCCGGTCCAATTCAATCCCATTCCTCACCATGGCTCTCCAATCTTGCCGCTCTGGCCTTTTACGGAGCAGACAAGTCGCCCGCACACTCATGCCATGTGTGCGCACATACGCCACCGACTCGACACCCGAATCCTTCAAATCCGAAAACCCATCTTCCTCCGCTCCCGTCCCACGATGGAGTCAAACACCCCCCGCAATGAAGGCACCTATACAGCTCGACTTTGCCAAGAATCCCAAAAATAAGGTCTGGAGTGTCAACAATGATCCCAAGAAGCTGGATGAGGTTTATGACCGACTACTGGGACAGGGCGGCAGCAAGCTTCTGCCAGACGAGGTTAAGTGGTTGGCTGTTACGCATAAGAGTTTCGATCAGGGAAGGAGAGGTTTCAACGACCGATTGGCGTTACTCGGTAGGCTGGACAAGTACATTTGAAAGGGTAATGCTGACCCCTGCAGGACGAATGACCCTCATCATGGAGACGACCAAGTCAATTGTCGCCAAGGAACCCATGAGTGAACCAAGACAAGACGTATACAACCGCGAGCCATTCATACATCCCAAGTTGCAGTCAGTGGACAACCTGACCATTCAAGGAGCGAAGGATATTGCTGGCAAGACAAATCTGTCTGCTCTAGCAGCTGATGTGGGATTGATTGATGTTGTGCGGTGGAAGCCTAAAAACGTATGTGCCAAAACTCCTGTGGTGGTATTCATCTAACATGCGACAGGTGCAAAAACTCAAGCAATCCGGTGTTGATGTCGTGCTTAATGGTGCGATTATGGCTATTATTGGAGCCGTCACCCTGCAACACGGAGCCGTAGTGGCATCACAGGTCATCAGGGAGCGAATCTTGTCAAGACTACAGGAGGAATAAAATCATAGCGTGGGTTAATCTGTATCATATCTGTACAATTTACGAAGAGGCTTGGACCTGTACAAAGTGTGAGGCTGTCCCCGAATGAACTTGTAAAACACTCAAGCTATTTGCTTTGATCTATCTATGGTTGTATTAAAACTAAAAGGGTATTGACGTTGGGTATTAATGTTCATTGCAACAGGGGCGTTTCCTCATCAGCTGGCTGAACGTTCTCGTCAGCCTCTTCATTACCATGATGAATGAGCTTCTCTCGGTACATCCATCCAACACAGGTTCCAGCGCCTGGTCCAATTATAAGAGAAGTGACAATTGTGGTCAACGGGACTCTCCATCCAACCTCGACCAACATCCAATACAGGACAGTCCAGAAGATGAATTGGGTGTCAACTTCAATAAAGACTATGGTTGACCTGGTCATTTCCTTGCGATCATCAGGCTGGGTGAGACTCCATATGAAAAAGACATGAGCTAAGATCGAGCAGATAATGGGCAGCAAGTAAACAAACAAGAACGATCGTCGGTTCGATGCGAGGTGAATGTTGGTAGGACTGACTCTTCTGATGACGGCGATAACGTTGCGAATTATCTGGCGGACGACTGTCACATAGATCGGGAAGAAGAGCCATACTCCGACAGTAGCTGGAGTCGTCTTGAAGAGCATCAAGAGGGATGGTACAAAGTAGCCAACAGCGACACTGATAGGAATAGCGACAAGTTCACTATCAGGGAGATGACGGCTTGTAAAAATCTGATCAACGTCGCCATGTCCATCATCTCGTTGCCGAGCACTCAAAACACTCCTCGCGCGGTGCAAAAAAGCAGGAATAATAACAAGCTCCCAAACAACAGCACCGCCCACAAGATCAAACACCAGCCATGGTCCCGTAGGATACGCGATAAGCACGTTCGGCGCGTTACATATGCGTGCCGCTTCAACAGTGCTCACTGTCAAAAGGCCGCCGAGAAATGACAGGACAACAGCCATGACAGCGGTACTTCTCAGGGAATCCAGCGCGGCGCGGAAAAAGCTAATGAGATAGCATAAAGGCGTTCCGATGGCCGGGATCCGACTGACGCCTGGAATGCGCGCATGAGAATGACATTGCGACCAAAGAAGTGCGGCGTTGATGTCGGAGTGAATAAAGAGCGCGACGATGGTAGCAGCAGCGAGGAGGATTGGTGGTATGATGAGGGAGCGGTATGAATAGTGATGAATAGGGGCCTTCGGCGGCATGATGAAGATTTTGCTTTCTCTTTATGCTGAAAGTCTTCGTCAGAGTGATGAGGAGGATAGAGAGTAAAAGGTGAAATTATTTCTTCATTCTGAGTAGGCTTGTTTGAGAAACATTTGGTGTCATGTGGTAAAATCGAAGAGGCTCTCGTGATTATATCCAGGCCCAATCTTGGTGTTGGGAGATCCACACCAGTGACACCAGCGTTAAGCCAGAAATGGAATTATCGTCTTTTTTGATGTCCTTGACCAGATTATCAATGCGCGATGTTGTTTTGGTGCTGGTAAAAGACATGAGTTTGCTTCTTTTTTGTTGATAAGATCTGGGCTGTAGACTTACCATACGGCGCTCATAATGGAAACACGTGGGACAGCGAAGAATAGAAGCCCATAAAAATGCCCAATAGGACAGGGATCCAGCATTGAGCATTGAATATCAACATGAAATAGATAATCAATACTAACAATCAGAGAAGCACGCAAGTCTTTCCATTCAACCCATAGACAGCAGCCCTGGGGCCCTGGGCTATAGGAATAATAACAACCTGTACGACGAGGGAGAAATTCGTCATTGCGCTAGCCAGCAACGAAGAACGCGCTGAGAAGTTAATATTAAATGATGTTGACCCCTATGGCGTTACTCCTAAGTCTTCGGGTCTAAAAATAATAAGTGGTCTAAAAACTATAATCTAAGAACCATAAACTATTTCGTCTCTATGCTTTCAGCGGTTAATTTTTCTGATACCCTGAGGGGATTACACGGTATGTTTTTAGAGGTGCATGTTAAAGAGCTTATGTTGGGTCGAGTCTGGAGAACAGGGATCTCCGAATCAGCTGCATAATAACTGCATCACCTCTTTCGGAAGGGAACTGACCGCAGGAAGTTCATGCAGAACACAACGGCAATGATGGAGGGATAAACAAATAGCTAGTTATCTGGCTGGGTTTCGATTGTTTCTTTAAGAAATCCCGAGGCTTGTTAAATTACACCTACTCTCAACTCTCTTTGACAACTGTCTAGTTGGCTTCCATGACAAGACTCACTGGCTAGACTGGATCATGTTCTACAACAGCCAAGGAACCCCTCTCTTGCTCGTGCAAGGCCAGTATAGAGTGACGAACCCGGATCGCTGTACACAAACATATCACAAGTCTCGTATACGGTCGAGTCTTGCTCTCTGTAACCTCGAATGATACCTTGACAAACGTATCACCAAAAACAAGCTGATCAAAGACTCAAGACGACAAGGTTATCTACTACCCCACGTCTAGAGTATCATGATGTCGGCCCATCTCTAACCGTCATGTCCGGATTTCAAGAGGGGAAGACACTTCTTCAGTCTCGGCAGGACTCATCAGGTAGGTCCGTAATCTCATCTGACTGGTTGAATCACCATCTCGCTCTCTTGATTCCACCGAAGCACCCACTGATGTTCGTCATGATCCATGACGAGAACTCTATGATGATTCGACAAACTTCATGTCCCCTGCAATAGTTCTCCGCATCAGCGGCCCCTCCCCCAGGTTTTAGCGGCATTAGTACTCGAGGCCCCTCTTCCCGAACCGCCTAAAACAATCCCGGTAGAGGGTCCAGGGTTCACCTACACTGGACCGAAGTGGTGTGTTACCAGAACAATCAGTTCCATCGAGGAAGGAAGGAATGAATGGAGGGGGCCCGACAACACATGACACAGCTACCCCTCGATTGTTTTGTCTCTTGTTTTTATTCCCTCTTCCTTAAGCAATTCCTATTCTTGTTTGTTTTGTCTTGTCGAATTCTTGGATATCACCCGTCGAGCCATCTCTGGGCCTTGCTATCGCGCTCATGACTATTTAATCATGGCGTCTCATATGCTTCGTCCGTTGGCCTCGTCCGCGGTTCCGGCCTCAGCTACTGAGCTGTGCGCCTCAAGCTTCTTTTTCCAGAAGCAATTGAAGAGCTACAAAGTTCAAGGTAAGCTGATACACTAGCGAAGCTCGCATAAGCTAACTCGAGCTCTAGATGGTCTTCTTTCGCGTCGCAAACAATGGCACAGTACCCTCAAGGCTCCGTCTCAGCGTGCACTTGTCGCAGACATCGCAAAACCTCTCGCTCTGATCTATCAGATCCCTGTGCATGCGCCTCGCAACTATTCTACAGTGGTACTTCCAAAAACAACTCCCTACGAGAACCTAGTTGTCGGTGTTCCTACAGAAATCTTTCCCAACGAACGTCGTGTTGCCCTTACGCCTGCCAATGTAGCTATCCTCAAGAAAAAGGGCTTCAAACAAGTCCTTGTCGAACGTGGCGCCGGTATCCATGCTGACTTTCTCGATGCTGCTTACGAAAAAGCTGGCGCAACTCTTGTCGACGGCCCTAGGGAAGTCTGGTCCAACTCGGACATTGTTCTCAAAGTTCGTGGTCCCGGTCTCGAAGAAGTCGGTTCCATGAAAGAAGGCCAAACTATCATTTCCTTCCTCCAGCCCTCTCAGAACAAAGAACTTGTAGAAAAGATTGCCGCCAGGAAGGCTACAAGTTTCGCAATGGACATGATTCCCCGTATTTCTCGCGCTCAGGTCTTTGATGCTCTCAGCAGTATGGCTAATATTGCTGGTTACAAAGCTGTTCTCGAAGCTTCAAACGTCTTTGGTAGATTCTTGACTGGTCAGGTTACTGCTGCTGGCAAGATCCCCCCTTGTAAGGTCTTGGTTATCGGTGCCGGCGTTGCTGGTTTGAGTGCTATTGCTACTGCTCGCCGTATGGGAGCCATTGTCCGTGGCTTCGATACTCGACCAGCTGCTCGCGAACAGGTTCAATCTCTTGGGGCCGAATTCATCGAAGTGGAACTCCAAGAAGATGGATCTGGCGCTGGCGGTTATGCTAAAGAAATGAGCAAGGAATTTATCGAAGCTGAAATGAAGCTGTTTAAAGACCAAGCCAAGGAAGTCGACATTATCATCACTACAGCATTGATCCCTGGAAAGCCTGCACCGAAACTTCTCAAGAACGATATTCTCGACGTTATGAAACCTGGAAGTGTCATTGTTGATTTGGCGGCCGAAGCCGGAGGTAACTGCGAAGCTACTAAAAAGGGAGAGCTGTCCATTTACAACGATGTCAAAGTCATTGGTATGTACTCCTTTTCTAAAAGAAGCAGCTTGACTAATATCTTTAGGATACACTGATCTACCCTCTCGCTTGCCGACTCAGTCATCGACTCTTTATTCCAACAACATTACCAAGTTTCTGCTTTCCATGACCCCTGAACCCAAGGCTTTCGGTATAGATCTTACAGATGAAGTTGTACGAGGTGCCATCGTGACACAAGAGGGAGATATACTTCCTCCTGCTCCTCGTGCGGCACCTCCACCACCTCCTGTAAAGACTGAGACAACAAATGCCACTCCTGAAGTTGTAGCACTCACACCATGGCAAAAGAAGACTCGTGAAGTTGCCGGCGTCACTGCAGGCATGGGCAGCATTTTGGCTCTTGGAAAATGGACCAGCCCTCTCCTCATGTCGAATGCTTTTACCTTTGCTCTGGCCAGTCTTATTGGATATCGAGCTGTTTGGGGTGTTGCTCCTGCCCTTCACTCTCCTCTGATGAGTGTCACCAATGCTATTTCTGGAATGGTAGGTATTGGTGGTTTGTTCATTCTTGGAGGTGGATTCCTCCCTGAGACGATTCCTCAAGCTTTCGGTGCCCTGAGTGTTTTGCTGGCGTTTGTCAACGTTGGTGGTGGTTTCGTTATCACCAAGCGTATGTTGGATATGTTTAAGCGTGAGTCACTCGGTCCATTGTAAGATCCAGCTAACGAATATAGGACCTACCGACCCCCCTGAGTACCCCTGGCTCTATGCTGTTCCTGCTGTAGTGTGCGGCGGTGGCTTTTTGGCCGCTGCCTCAACCGGTGCTGCTGGTCTTGTCCAAGCCGGTTACCTCGTCAGCTCTGTCCTTTGCATTGGCTCCATCTCTAGTCTTGCTTCCCAGGCCACTGCTCGTATGGGCAACGCCATTGGTATTCTTGGTGTTGGTACAGGTGTTTTGGCCAGTCTGCTTGCTGCTGGTTTCACACCCGAGGTTCTCACTCAGTTTGGTGGTCTCGCTGCCCTCGGCACTATTGCTGGTATGCTCATTGGCAAGCGAATCACTCCTACCGATCTGCCCCAGACTGTTGCAGCTCTTCACTCCGTCGTCGGTCTTGCAGCTGTCCTGACTAGTATTGGCAGTGTTATGGCAGATGTGATGGACCCGTCAACTCTTCACCTAGTGACAGCCTACCTTGGTGTATTCATCGGTGGCATTACATTTACCGGATCACTTGTTGCGTTCATGAAACTTGCTGGTAGGATGTCGTCCAAGCCAAAGATGCTGCCTGGACGACACATCATCAACTCGGGTTTACTTGCTACCAACGCAGCTACCATGGGCGCTTTCATCACCATGGCACCAGGAAGCCCCCTGATCGCAGCTGGAGCCCTTGCCGGAAGTGCTGCATTGAGCTTCATCAAGGGTTACACAACAACCTCTGCTATTGGAGGTGCTGATATGCCCGTTGTCATCACTGTTTTGAACGCATACAGTGGTTTTGCTCTTGTAGCTGAAGGGTTCATGCTCGAAAACACCCTTTTGACCACAGTCGGAGCATTGATTGGTGTATCTGGTTCCATTCTTTCGTACATCATGTGCGTTGCGATGAACCGATCGCTCACAAACGTGTTGTTTGGAGGGTTGGGTACGCCGACACAAGTCCAAGAGTTCAAACCTCAAGGAGAAGTCACCCAAACATCTGTAGATGATCTCGCAGATGCACTTCTCAACTCTGAAAAGGTCATTCTTATTGTCGGTTATGGTATGGCTGTTGCCAAAGCTCAGTACGCCATCTCGAGCATCGTCTCGACTCTACGAGCCAAGGGTATCACTGTCCGTTTTGCCATCCATCCTGTTGCAGGCCGTATGCCTGGACAGTGCAACGTGCTCCTCGCTGAGGCCAGCGTACCGTACGATATCGTTCTGGAAATGGACGAGATCAACGACGACTTCCCCGACACTGATCTTGCTGTTGTCATTGGTGCTAACGATACTGTCAACCCCATTGCCATGGAAAAGGGTAGCTCAATCGAGGGCATGCCCGTGCTTCACGCCTGGAAGGCCAAGCAGGTGGTAATTATGAAGAGAGGCATGGCCAGCGGCTATGGTAAGTGTCTTGACCTCATGCTTGATTCCGCTAACAAATGCAGCTGATGTTCCCAACCCAATGTTTTACATGCCCAACGCAAAGATGCTATTCGGAGATGCTAGAGTATCGTGCGAAGGTATGCTTTTCCTTCCCCCTTATCTGTTTTAGAAACTCAACTGACTCTCCTAGCTATCAAATCTGCAATTGAAGCAAAGTCGTAGAATTTCCTATGTAGTCATATAAGAGGAGGATCATGGGCTATAGAGTGCACGTCTTAGACTCTGCATCTATTTCATTAACTGTATGAGCAAACCATACAATTTGTAGAATTTGTTTGAATTCAATACCATTTTTGGTTGTGCCGAGCTGCTCCCTACGCGAATTTATGTACACTTGACCGTCTCATCCTTATTCCCGAGGCGCAGCAACGGGCTGCCATGCCGCCAACTTGGGCTTGGCGCTATAAACAGTCAGTATTGTTTCCCTTCGTGAATGGTGCACATACGTGTTGTAGGTCTTGAAGGCACCCCTGGTCTGGGTGAAGTTGGGAATGGCGTGCGAAGGCTCAAAAGCTCGTGTACCAGCATTTAACAAGGGATCCTGGATAGGGGGCTTGTCGACGGAGTAGCTCATCCAGGCGTGCCATCCGGGTTCGATATGGGCAGCATCGTAATCGTGCTTGGCGTATTCGACCCAGCGTGTTCGGAGGGGAAGTTCCTCATTGTTCTCAAAGAACTTGTTACCGGCGCGATCGGTACCGATGAGAATACCAGCCTTGGTATCACCTGTGAATGTCAGCAGGTAATTCGAGAGTCTATAATCGTGAGGAGCGTACCGATGTACTATTTGCGCAAACAGGCATCGTTAGCCAGAGTTTCGGATTCGGGTGTCGCTCAGTCGGATACATACCAGCATCTGCTTAAAGAAGTCCTACACAAGTTAGCATTTGGCTCTGATAGCGATTGAACAGATATTTACCTTGATTCCAACCTTTCGCAGGTTGGTCAGCGTTCTTCCGATTGTCGACATGATGGCGGTTTGAGCGAGCAATTGACCTCGACGTAAAGCGGGATGGAGATGCTAATCCGGTCAATGATGGGATGGTTTGAAGATTGCCCAGCAGGAACGGATCAACCTCGGCAAATTGCCATCTGTGACGGAATAGGTACGTACCTCGAAGCTTCACAACCAGAAATATTCTAGCAATTAACAAGCAATCTTTAATTAGACTACAAGCTTCAATTAAAGCTGCATCCGACTCGATATGCTTGCTCGGAGCTGTACGCGTTGCACCACGAGGCTTCGCACCGCAAGTTTCAGACCCAGAATCACAAGTGCAAGGGTTCAGACAAGACAATATGCCATGCCTGCTGGAGGTGCTCAAGCGTCCAACTCGAACGGTGCTGGAGCTCTGGCGCCATTCGTTACGGAATTAGATCGTCTTGCGCCGAGTTTCGGTATTCGAGGAGAGCAGATCCGAATCATTCAAACACCTGCCCAATTCTACGAGACATTAAAGGTTCGATCATCACTTATTACGACAGGATTGGACTGATGGGGTTTAGGATCGGATACGGAAAGCCAAGCGACGAATCTTTTTGTCAACATTGTATATTGGAAAGTCGGAAAAAGAACTTATCGAAACGTTGCAAGAGTCTTTGAGAAATAACCCGGATGTTAAACTGAGTATTCTTACGGATGCTTTGCGAGGAACTCGTGAAGCGCCGAACCCATCGAGTGCATCACTACTGGCACCTCTGGTGGAAGAGTTTGGAGCGGATCGTGTTGAGATTCGAATGTATCATACACCAAACTTGACTGGGTTGAGGAAAAAGTATATCCCTACAAGGATTAATGAGGGATGGGGACTTCAACATATGAAGCTGTATGGCGTTGATGATGAGATCATCATGTCTGGGTATGTCATGCAATTCTTTAGTTTGGGAAATACTAACTTGACAGGGCAAATCTGTCTACCGACTACTTCACCAACCGCCAAGATCGGTACCATCTCTTTTCCTCAAAAGAAGTCACCGATCACTTCTGGAACATCCACTCAGGAGCGACATCTTTCAGTTTTCTTGTGCAACCCTCAAAAGAGCCAGCAGGTTTCACTCTTTCCTGGCCAGAGAACAACTCTGCTCCTTCACCACTAGAGAAGCCTGAATCTTTCATCAAGAGTACTACGTCAACTCTTCAAACTCTTCTACACCCCAAGTCCAAACCTGAGAATGACATCTCAGACACAAGAGTGTATATGCTTGGCCAGATGTCCCAGGTCATGAAGCCTGACACCTCAACTGAGCTCCCTATCATTACACATATCCTCAAGACTCTTGCTCTACCTTCATATCGGGAGTCTTCCTGGACTTTTACAGCTGGTTATTTTAACCCTGCGCCTTCACTCACAAAACTCCTCCTCGGTACTGCTTCCTCCTCCAACACTGTCATCACAGCTTCCCCTGAAGCGAACGGGTTCTACAAATCAAAAGGAGTATCTGGTCTTCTCCCAGATGCTTATACCCTTCTCGCTCGTCGTTTCGTCCACCGTGTGCACCACGAAGGACGCGACAACGACATCACCCTCAAGGAGTGGCGCCATGGTGTTGTTGGCCAACCAGGTGGATGGACGTACCACGCCAAGGGTCTATGGGTTACGATGCCAGGAGATAAAAACCCAGCTATGAGCATTATTGGAAGCTCCAACTACACCAAGCGCAGCTACTCTCACGATCTTGAAGCTGGAGCCTTAATCGTCACTCGCGACGAAGGTCTCAAAACAAGATTAGGAGAAGAGCAACTTTGGTTACAGGAGCATGCTACAAAGGCAACTCGGGACGACTTTGCTCGAACTGAAAGAAGAGTCGGTCTCAAAGTCAGAGTCGCCATGTGGATTGTTTCGCTAGTGGGCGGAGCGTTGTAAAAATATGTAAATCAGTGTAATCATCTAGAGTGACTCCCCGAGTCCAATGATACCCAAGAGTTAATCAACATCCATTCGGTCATGACATGCAATTGTACAAAATAATACAAGTTTATATAGTCTACACGGGCATTTTAAGCACCGAGCACTCTCGTCCCTGTCTCAGGTCCGCCCTTGACAAGACCTTGCATGACGACTCTGCTCACCAAATCACTTTGGTGTTTCTCGATCAGCTCCTTGAGCACGCTTCGCTCCAGAACAACCTTGCCTGTCTCCAATAGATCCTTAACATCAACATCCTCCATGCCAAGTGCTCGGCCTTCCCAAGGAACCTGCTCCATAGCGTCGAAAAGAGCCTCACGTCGGTTACCTGTGACAAACAGAGTTCGACCAGTGGCACGGCCCAAACCAAGGTTGCCCAGCACTCCTGTCATGTACCGCTTAAGATACCCCTCCTTCAATCCATCCTTGAGGTACTTTCCAGCAACCATCTCGTAGTCTGTCGGCAGCACAAGATCCATACCATCTTCGCATACGATCAAATCACCCTGTCGGTAGCGGTAGCTCAGAGCGGTACGCCAAGCCTTGTCGTAGACCTTGCGGTTCAGATGGGTGCCAAAGTCGCGAGGGTGAGGACCAAACGTTTTTCCACCACCACGAAGTATGGGACTTTGCTTAGTTCCTTGACGGGCACGACCGGTACCTTTTTGAGGTCGCATCTTTCGGTGGGAACCGTGGACGTCGTATCGTGTCTTGGTTGAGGCGGTACCTTGACGAGTGTTGTCGCCTTCGTAGACAACGGCAAGGTGGAGGATATCGCGGCGGAGAGGGAGGTAAAGGTGGTCGACAGACCATCGCTCGAGTGCGGTGGGTTCCAACGAGGGAAAGTTGTGAATTGTGACGGGAACGGTTTCCTCTGCTATGGTTAGTGGATGTTTGTTATATAGAAGCGAGGATAGTCGTACTGGGCTTCCATGACTGTAGGATGCTCTGTGTGTTGCTGACATCTTTGGTTGTTTCTGTCGAGACATCGTTTGACGAGACTTGTGTAGCCATTGATCGTGTTAAGGCCCTAGGGATTGTCGCCGGCTGTAATTGTTAGTATTAAACCATCATCTGCAGTTTCTTCAACATACCTTAGCAGACACCCGCAGAGCGCCCATGGCCTCAGCCAAGCAGCCAATTCCCTTGCCAGCCATTTTTGATACTTCCCTACTCGTACAATCGATAGGGAGAGACTGGTGGTGGATATACAGGTGCAGTGGTCGGCCTTTTGGTGTTGAGGTTTCGAAAACCGTGATGCGATTTAGAGAAAAGTGGATCGGCAACATCCGTCCTCCGCCCCGAGTTTTTAGTGGGGCAAAAGCGCCTGCAAACCATCCCCAGAGCATTTTTCAAGATATCTCAAGAATCACTCAGCGTCAATTCAACGTCCACCCACGCCGCACCGCTTATCATGTCGCGCTGTCAGGTCGCCATGAGGCCGATCTCTCGGCAGCTGCGGCCAACATGTCCCAGCATTGTCCGCCCCTTCACCTCTGCAGCCATCCGCCGAACACCAGCAGCCGAAACTCAGACTACGCCTACCGAAGCAGACCTTGATCCGAACACGGTGCTCCCCGAATTCGAGGAGCAGCTCATGAAGGCCGGAAAGATGCCAATTGGTTCCCGTCGTCGTCGTTTAGCCATCCGCAGCACTGGCGACCTCCCATTCGAGCACCTTCCCTACCAGGCTTTCCAAGAAGCCCGCAAGATTCTGGCGGTTGATCGAGAAGAGAAGTTGGGGAAGATTCAGCAGGAAATTGAGAAGATTTCTCGACTGGAAGCTACGAAACCGGAGGATATCAAGGGTGGTCAACATATAAAGGATATGAGACTGAGGGGTCTACGAAAATATGTTGAAGAGCTGAAGATCCTCGCGGATGCTAATGACCCTGTCGTTAAGAAGCGTTTTGAGGATGGAACGGGTATGTTTTGTTGTCAAAACACAGGTCTGGGCTAAACTAACATATCCAGGCGATATGAACAAGCCTATTTACCGTCACTACGCTGAAGTCAAGTGGCGCTCATACGACCAGCGACTTATCAACCAACGTATTAAGCAGTTCAACATCGTTCCTGATGTGCTCCCCAAGCTGGAGCCCACTGCCGATGTTCAGCTATACTTCCGCCAACTAAAGGTTCCTCCCGGTCAAATCGTCGACAGTATCGTCAGCGAAAAGCCCCCTCGTCTACGTGTGCAGGTCTTTGACAAGGGCGAGCGTCTGGTCTCTATCGTCGTTCTCGACTCGGATGTGCCCAACCCTGACTCCGACACTTTTAACAAGCGCTGCCACTTCCTCGCAGCCAACATCCCCATCAGCCCCAACGACACTTCTCTACCCCTGAGCAGGATAAAGGCTGAGGATCAGCTCGCTCTACCATGGATGCCCGCATTCTCCCAAAAGGGTGCTCCTTACCACCGTCTCGGCATCTACCTCCTTGAGCAGGAGCCCGGTCAAAAGATCGACGTCTCCAAGCTCAAGGAACTCTACAGCAAACGAGACGGTTTCTCCCTCAAGTCGTTCCGTGACAAGTTCAACACAACACCCTTTGGCTTCAACATGTTCCGAAGCGTCTGGGATGAGAACACCGCAGCTGTCATGGCCCGACACAACATTCCCGGTTCCGATATCGAGTTCCGTCGTACCCGTGTTCACAGTCTCAAGCCACCAGTCAAGCCTCGCGGATGGGAAGCCAAGCGACAAGGACCCAAGTACCGCCACCTTTGGAAGTACACCAAGAACATCAAAGGCATCTCCAACTCAAGGGGATGGATCAAGAGGAGGTAGAGGAGTGGTGGTGGATGAGCGTGTATCATATTACTGTACATTTAAAAAATGGGAATCTCTTTGTAAGAGTATCAAGAGAATTAAATCTACGACTCCATGTATAACCTGTGATTCAAGATTCCACCTCACCCGGGAATAAATTCGATAGTAGAGTTAAGCCGCATTTATTCCCATACAAGATCTCGCTTCAACCTCAAAGTAACCACCAATCACACACAATATTCTCTCTTCATGGAGCTGAACAGAGGCGTTCGCCACGACGTCAACGACTGATA